TTGCATTTATAAGAATCTTCTTAGCTCTTATAAACATACTGAAGAATAAAAATAAGAAGAAGTTATTTTATGAATGAAGAATAAAAAGATTATTGAGAAGAGAGAACTGTGAGAACTTTCTTATCTTAGAAGCTTATAGAGTCTTTATAAGATTGAAACAGATATTCATAAATACAGTAATACTGTTTCACTTTGATCTCTTGCTCTTAATCAGATTAAAGACAAATGTCTTCTTCTTTACAATTTCAGAAATAGTCTTACAACTATAGTTAAATGAGAACTGAGTTTCAGTGATCTTTTTCTTATAGAAGATGCAATCTGTGAAGATTAACTATAATATTTATAATCAGAAGTTTCTTATAATAGTGAAATTCTTCTGTCACTGATATCACTACTTTAAGAGCCTCACAACAGTGATTACTGTTAAAACTGATTATAACAGTTTATAATAGTTTACTTTAATCAAGAAACTCTCACAGCAGTAGATTTACTAAGCTCAGAGACTGAGTAGATTCTGATTCAAGATAGAATATATTAAGAAAACTAAGAACTCAGTGAATAAACTCTCTTACAGATCAGATTATATTAAGAAGGCCAGGATGACAGATACAGAGAGACTAGAGAAGACAGAAAAGCTTCATAAGATGCTCAGACTGAGTGTTATAAAGAGATTGACTGAAGAGTCTCTCAATTCTCTGTGAGAGAAGAGAAGAAAGAGAGAAAAGAAGTCTGTACAACTACTCTCTATAATACTGAGAGTTAACACTCTGAGAATCTCTGTGAGAATTCTTGAAGAGAGTATCTATAATCTGAAGAGTTTGTAGACTTTAAGAAGAATCATGAAAGACCTGATATAAGAAGAAATAGAGTATAAGTCTTCATAAGATCTTCTATTCAGATTATCTGAACTGTAACTGAAGAATGAATATACTCAGTATATTCAGAAACTGCTTACAGCAGAGATCAACTCTGTAGTAATAAAGAATTGAAGAAACTTAAATAATCTCTTGTAAAGAGAGAGTCAGATTTATATATCTATAAATGAGTTTCTATGTATAGAACTTATTAAAAGATATCATAACTCTTCTCTAACAGATCATTTTACAGATACTAGAACTTATAAGTTACTTATAAGAAAATACTTCTGACTGAAGATGTGAGAACTTGTGAAGAAGATAGTGAATTCTTATACTATTTATCAGAATTCATAGATAGTGTAGTTCAGATTATATAAAGAACTTACTTCTCTACTCATTTCATAGAAACCTTGAGAACAGCTAGAAATAAATGCTCTTATAAGCCTCTCTGAAAGTAAGAACATATATAATATCTGTTTTGACAGTGTGCTGATGATAGTGAATCACTTTATTAAGATAATATACTTTATACTCATCTACAAGAACTTAAAGTTAAAGAATTTAACTCATATCTTCATCTATAATATAATCTGATTGTATGAATTATATATAAATATTATCTCAGACAGAGAATCAATCTTTGTAGAAGAGTTCTGATTTAATCTGATAACTATACTGAAGATCTTATAAGATTTAAGCAAAGCTTTTCATTAACAGATAGATAATCAGATAGAATATCTGATAAGTATATTAAAATAGTATCTGCAGTGCTTTGTCAATTACAATCAGAATAACTGAGTGTATTAATTATCACTCACAGATTTTATATACAACAACTCAAAGTATGTCAGCACAGATAAAACTCTCTTTGAGATACTTACTGAGACTCATTCATGAATAATCTTGATAAATCTGTGAGAGTACACTATAGAGTGTGATGATACTCATGAATAAGCTGAGAGAATTCAGAATATCTGAGAGAAAGTCTGTGAATTCTTAAGAAAGACTCAAGAGTATCAGAAGAGATACTATAACTTCAAGTATATTATAAAGAGTTTTAAGAAAGATAATAGAGTCTGACTGAGTCTAGAAAATATCATTATACAGAAATCTAGTAAGAAGCTGAATCTCTTATAAATAGAGTCTTATAAGATTATGAAGAAAGTTAGTTTACAGTTCTATAGATTAAAACTATTATCTGAATTATAGATATATAATATTTTTCATATCTCTTTACTTTATAAATATAAGAAATTCTTAGAAGAGAATTCTGTGACTTATCACTCTATCTGTGAAGTACTAGAGAGTGAAAGAGAATATCAGATCAAAGAAATTATTGACTTAGAGAAGTAAGATTATAAGCTCTGATTCAAGGTTCAGTGATAAAAGTATTCTGATAAGATAAATGAGTTCACTTGAGAATTATTCAGATAGATAAGATATCTGTAGAAGCTGAGATATAACTTTTATACTGTAAATTCTGATAAGCTAGAATAATATAATCTTCACTAAGAACCTGATTGTAATAAAGATATTAACACTGTTATTTATAAATTCTAGTCTATAAGATAATAGATTTCTACTGAGATGAACAGTCTGCAGTATATATAAGAGAAGAAGAAATTATATTCTTATTAAAGTTAAAAAACAGAAAATAAACAGAGCTGTAAACACAATTTAGAGATTAATAAAGAAAAAATAAAGAAAACTTATATTCATATTCTCAATATCTGTAACACTCAATCTTCTTATAACTATTAATTTCTCTTTTGAAAGAAGCAGAGAGTATTATATTTACAGTACAGATAATTATTACATTTGATATAAAGATTATCAGAAATGCACAGACTTCAGAGAAGCTAAACATCAGAATATACACAGTTGCAGCAGAGTCTTGAGAACTGACTGTCTATATATGTGATCAGATATCTCTTACAAAGCTGTATTTACTTTCTCAGTTATGCTGAAGTATTCAGTCTGAAAATAATTGAGATATAGAGAGAGAGCTCATCTGCTCAGATTAACTCTTATTATAAATTCATGACATTTGCATTGTCTTGATTACTCAGATTTTACAGGTATCTGAGAACTTATCTCTCATTAATAATGAGATTGTAGAAATGCACTGCAGTGTGAGAATCATTGATAGAGAATCTAGATATATTCATATATATCTAGTCAGAGATTGTGTGAGTAGAGAGAGAGTGATTATAGATCTGCAGAGTCATAGAAGATACTGATAATATCAGAAGCTTTGCAAGAACTGTCAGCTAAAGTCTGTAAGAAATTACTTATAAGAAGACTTACAGTAAAGAGAGAGACTATACTACTTAAAGTCAGAAACTGATCTGAGAGAGATAAAGAGTTAGTCACTGATCTAAAGATTAGATACAGTGACAGAGCTGAGAGAGATAAAGATACAGTTATAAGCAGCAGTATTCCTACTTTATCAGCTGATAAAAAGTAATTAGAGAAGTTACAGAGACACTTATAAGAAGCTCAGCAGCAGTCAGATATTATTTGTAAAGATATTAAAATTGAAAAAATTTTTATTCTTGAGAAGTTCTTGAATTAATATATAAATATTGTTAGAAATACTCTCTCTCTGTCATCTGAGTGAAAACACTTCATAGATGAATGAGAATACTCACAGTTTATAAAAATAAGAGCTGTTATAGAAAAAGAGAAAAGAAGATAAGATTTCATGAACAGATCTGAGATATTTATACTACTTTAGAGAGATTTACTTACACTGTGAATAATCTCATAGAACAGTCAGATTACTTTAGTAAATAAGAGTAATTATAAATTACAGATCTGAATCTTTCTATATAGCTATAAAGAGTGATTACAGACTGTGAATATCTTAATTCTACAATTCTACAGAGTTAATGAAAGAATGAAAAATTTCTCACAATTCTACAGTATTAAAGAATAATGATTTACAAGAATAAGTGAAAGATTAACTTATAAATGCTTCTCTTTCATAAAGATAATCTCACAGAGAGTGATTCATCTGTGAGATAAATTTATATAATAATTATACAAGAATCTTATGAAAATAGTTGAGAGTCAATCAGAATTCTTCTGTATAAAAGATATGAGATAAATCTGTGTAATAGTTAGAGAAGAATCTGTAGATTATAAAGAATCTCATAGAATAAGAAACTAAGTGACAGACTCTTTTCTCTTTATAGTAATAAGAGATTTTTTCTTACTGAGATTTTTTATAGATATAAAGAGTTTTTAGTGAGTATTACTGCAGTACTGAGCTGATTCTATAAAGTTACTCAGTGAAAGACTTCACAGATAAAGTCTTAAAGAGAGAGAAATATATAAAAAATCTCACTTCTTATGAATTCTTTATCTCTATTTCTATCTCTTATATAACTAATAGAGCTAGCAGCTCTTGACTACACATAACTATATAGACTGAAGTTTGTGAATACTATTTATAACTCAGCTTAAATACTATTATATATTTAATCTCTATATTTTATCTTTCTATCACAAATACTTTTAATAGTTAACAGTACATATCACATCAAGCTGTAAACACTTAAATAATTGCCTGTGAGCACTTATTCTTACATCAGTCTAATCTGAGATCAGAATCAGAATATTTAATAATCTTATTATTAATTTAACTAATCTTATTACACAGTTTTAATATTAGATAGTAGTCTTATACTATTTCAGTGAGACTTACTATCTACTCTTATTATATTTTTTAAATAAGATTATAATTTTCACTTCTCAATTTAAATTATTTTTATTTCTTTAAATGAGTTTAAAATTAAATCTCAGGATTTTAAATGTAAAATTTTCAATTTCACTACTTCAGTACTATTACATTATAATTATATATAGCTATAGACTATAGTAATAAATATTATTAAATTTTTAAAATTTAACATTTATAAAAATTTCATTATAATGATAATTCTATTACACTGAAATATGATAGTAAGTTTACTTAATATTATTAATTATTTCTGTCTCTGTTCTCTCTAGTTTAGCAGTCTTTAAATATCACTTCATTTAATTGAGATATTAACATTCATAAATCGCTACACATAAGAGAACTGAGAAGAACATTGAGATCAATGCTTAGTTTCTGCTGCAATCTTACAGTTAACTTTTGATTAGAGTAACTTGCTTCAATGCTACAAGACAAGAATTACATGATTTTCTCCTACATTCCAGGTATCTCAAACCAACCACGGCCTCTCTTGAAGCTTAAATTGAAACAAGTTAGATTAGAGGAACGAGAGAAGAAACGAAATTCAAAAACTTGTCAATTAGAAATAAGCTGCGGTGTTGAGTACGCAGGGTATATTCTCCTCCACAAATAAAGAGTTGCTTACTACCAATGTATATGGGAACCAAAACAAAAATAACCCCCAAAAATTATGTGCCGCCATATACAGGTAAATATGAACCAAGGGAAGCAAAAAGCGTCCAAAAATTTTCCAAATAACGGGCCACGAAAGGAATAAAATCCCAAATCGCCTATGCTCGTTGACGCCCAAATCAAACCAAAACACATTTTATCCCCAAACAAAGATAAAACTGAAGTTTATCAGGAATATGGATATATATTCGCAATGTAAATAAGGTTTTTTTTTTCGAGATTTCATGTCGAAGGGAGGGGAAAAAATGAAATGCCTGCTTGGACACGGCGACTCGCCGGGCTTCAACAAGCAACGCACTTGTTATTCGGTTCAACCAAAATAGCGGTGGTAGTTACGGGCGGACGGGAGCGGCGGATGCAAAATACCCCCGGAAACACTTTGTTTTCTTCAAAGGAGTGAGGGATAAAATTAGCCCCATCGCCCGGAATCCTTCTGAATCTCCTCCTGGCGCACCCGGCGCTCCTCATCTTGCTTTTTTTTCCGCTCTTCTGGTGTGAGCTTCGCGGTTGCGGCCATTCGCTGCTTATCTGGTACCCATAGCTTCAGATCTGGCATCCAATTGTGGCTGTAAAACGAGAATATGAGTAAAGAAATAAGTAAATATATATAAATAGAGTTGGATGTGGTCAGATGCAGGTGGGTATCATTATAGTAAACAAATAAATGCACCGTCAAACTTACTCCTCATAATCCATAACAAGAAAGGCACTCTTCCCATACTCCCTAATCAAAATCTCATGATACTTATACGGAATCTTCGCGGGGACGCCCTCATACACACTCTCGCGCATTGGGTAGAGGTCTGAGGTTTTATACTTGTGGAAGTTCTTGCACTGTAGGACACCCGGTTCGGTGTCTGGGTTGAGCTCGCTGACACCCGTGATGTCGATGAAGAGGCCGTTGCGCATGTCGATCCAGCGGGCGTCGATGATGTTTTGGCCCTGGCCACGGTCGCGCCGGCGGGCATGCGGGTTCACGTCGAGCAGGTAGCTGCGCTGGGTCTGGTTGTTGTCTGGGGCAGAAGTGTGGTAGTTATAGATTGTATGATTGAAGCTGTCGACCATGCGAAAGAGCGTGAATGTGTTGACTTGGGTATCGATGTCCCAGTCCCAGGGGAGCATCTAGATACAAGTTGTATCGAAAACTATATTAGTCATGGAAAGATCGACGGACAGGGGGTATATACATCGATGGATATATATAGTTCTATATATGTAGGTACCCATCAGCACTGATTTTCAACTAACCTTCCCGTTCCACCACCACCCCAACAACGTGCCGTGCGCTATCCACGTCTCCAAGTCATTCTCCCTAAAGAAATTCAAATACGCCCGTGTCATATGCATCAGCGTATCCGTGCGCTCCTCATACGTAACCACACCTTTGAAGAACCTTGTATCATAATGTCCCAGAATATCGTCACCGCCAGGTTCGTGGAAGTATTTCTCCTCAGGAGGCTCATTATCATCCCTACGGATTTGAAGATTGCGGACCAAGGACGGGAGGGCAGAGACAGGTAGAAGGGAGTGCGCACATAGCAGTGTCTCGAGGAGGAGTAATCGCCAGCCGATGAGCCTCATGCCTGGGAATGCTCTGTGTTTTAGTCCGTGGTCGTACGTTGGCTTGGTTGTATCAATCGTCACGAGAGGGTTGGGAGGGAGGATATATATAGGTGATACATAGAGGGAGTAATAGATGAGGTCGACTGGGCGGCGGATAATTCAAGATGAGGACGGTCGCCAGAGGAAGAGCCCTCTTAGAGATTCGCAACGGGTTTGCGATAAGCTATACGGGTGGTACAGACTATCTAAAATTGGATTGATGCAAAGATTTTATATCGTTTTCACATCCGAAGGGAGGGACGATACTTGAAGGCCGGTAACCAGGTCGTGTTGAGTGACGCACAAGGAGAACTATTGGAATAATGGGGGTGTATATACTCAGAAGTAGATATTAGATATATGCGCGCAAGAAGTAATTGTATAGGGAAGGATGAGGACGGAATGAAGATGAAGAAAAGAGCGGCGTCTGTCTGGCGGCGCTATTGGCTGCAAAGCTAGTGATGAAAGATTTTTATGATGACAAACCTTTTGAAACCTAACTTTAAGTTAATAATAAACCACGGATGATTTGTAAGCTACTACTCAACTCACAAACCTCTAAAGTCACATAATATTTTTAGTACACACAGCCTTCTTATATAGACTTAGAAGCTATAATTCAGGATTTTATAATATAAAACTTATAAATATTGTATTAATTTAATTGAAAAACTTTAGTATTACAGTTATTATAATTATTATTCTTCCATTATACTTATATGCAAGTGGAGCTTATGATGAGACCTTGCGTGATGTTAAATACAGGCCAAGTATTAATTATACAGGAGGAAATACAGGTGTTGAGACCATGTCAAGATAACTAAGAACATATGAAATACAAAGAAGTAACAATTAGGTACATGCAATGATAACTTCTCAGCTCAGGAACATAGAGTGATTCATTGTAGTAATTTGTACACCTCTGTATTTATTAGAAACCTGAGGTGCTTGAGTTTCAGATTTAATGTATTATCTGCGGGTTTCAACTCACACACCTTGATTTCCCATGCCAAGATGCTACTAAGTGGCCGCATTAATTATTCAGTCACTGAGGCTTAGTATTACAGTATATAAGATAAAAAAAAATATAATATTAAGTTTATTATTATTCTTATTAAAATCAGTATTAAAAAAAATCTGAAAATATTTAATTTTTCAGAAATAATGTGAAAAATAATCAGATTTAAAGTAAAAATAGTGAAATAAAAATAATTTAAAAAATAAACAGTAAAAAATAATTATTTTTCAAATGTTAAAATAAAATTAAAATAGAAAATTTAATTTAATTTAATTTAATTTAATTAATAATTATTAATAATATTTATAAAATAATTAAGTATATTTTTATATAAGTTTATTTTTTAATTTCTTATAAAAATTACACTGTTTTAATATATTATAATTTAAAACATTAAATTATTTAAAAATTTTAAATTGTATAATTATAAATTATTTAATTATTTTTTTAATAATTATTTTAAATAATAGTAATAAATTATTATTATTATTATTATTATTATTATTATTATTATTATTTTAATTATAAATATATATATTTTAAATAATAATATTTATTTGAAAATTAAAATCTTGTAAAATTTTTCTTATTTTTTTAACTAATTAATATATAATTATCTGTGACAGACTATGTCTGATTAATTATATAGACTATTCTATTACACTTCACAGATTTTAACTACTTTATTTTTAAATATATATACTCTGATTCGTAGTCATTCTCAATCACTGATTCTCAGCTATTACTCTGATTCTCAGTCATTCTTAATTACTGATTCTCAGTTACTATAAATGTGTATAGATTCTTTCATTCTAAAGTCTTATTATATACATCACTACATATATGTATAAATATTCACTTTAATTGCTGATTCTCACACTTTCTCTTTCTTTTTCTTCTCTAATGTTTTTTTCTTTGTTATATAAAATCTATATATTATACTGATCTATTCACTGTAGGCTTTTTACACTAGAAAAAAAAACTAACTTAGACAGATTAACAATCACTTTATCATGAACTCACTCAATTTTTTGAATAAGAACTCACTGATAGATTCATCAAAAAGCCCTCAATTATACAAGCATTTTAACCCCATCACTGACTGCATACCCCGTGTGATGATGAAGTTATTCAGTTAAATGTGAACCAGATATTGTTTGAAACTTCTGTGTGAAATTATCCCCTGTTCTCCTCTATCACATCACAACCCCGGGTCAAATTGTCATACAAATTGTAAGATGAAAAGACCTAGTCATATGTATCAATCTTCTCAATTTTGAAAGATCTCTGATCTGTAATTGTGAAGATATCTGAGAAGTGACATCTGTGAAAACCCTGTCTCTTTTTGATGTTTCAAAACATCAATGCTAAGTCTCACTCTCATACTATTCTTCTCAATATAGCTTATTCTCAGCAGAAAAATATGAAAAGATATCTCACTAATAATATTAAGTATATAATCAATGAACACTTCTGAAGTATAATCTCTGCAAATACTCTATCTGTCTTCAGTGTATCTAGACATTAATATCAAGTCTTACTCTTGTATTATCTCTCTTAATCTGACTTATCTTCAGTAGAATAATATAAAAAGATATCTTAACAACATTACTTGATACATAATCAGCAGATAATGAGTTAACAGAACAAGTCAACAGTATATTAATAACTATAAATTCAGTATATATTAAGATCTGACTGAGTCTTTGATCTCTGCATAGTGAGATATATTAAATCTAGTTTTAATATCTTAATATTCAATAGATTCTACAAGAGATTGAGAACTGCAATACTAGATTTCTATTGAATTTGAGAATTAACTCTATATTAATATAATTATTGACAAAATCTTTTATTTTAAGATATAAATTACCAGTTTCTCTACATTCTGCTGACAATATTTATATTATTATATAGAAATAGACTTATATTTTCTATAATATCAAGACTCTGAAGTGTCACGCTCCCGGCCGCGTCAAGGCCCTGTTGCGGTTTCACACAGCTCATCACTTTCATGCGGATGATTTCATCCTGTCTGAACCAGTTTTCCAACTACTCTATGACATCATTCAGATATATCATAGAAAGATTCAATTGATGAATATAAGAATCTCACTTCTATACAAGGTCAGCAGATTACTTTTTCTTGACAGTGAGATACTGCTGAGATATCACTCTGACTATTCTTACTTATAAAATGAGAGAAGGTATCTGCTCATTGTCTATATAGAATAGCTAGATGCTGACTCTTTATAAAAGAAGTCAGTGATTTGTTTTTCTTCTACTGAAATATATATAAGAGTTATCATGTGTCTTATACAATCTTCTTAGTATACTAAGTATTATATCTGTAATATTCTTACAATAACTCTGTAGTCTACAAGCTCACTATTCAAGCAAGATAGTCAAGCTCACTTATACAGCTTTTTAAACAACTATCTCTATATAATATCACTGACTAGTCATCACTTCAGTTCTATCATATTACAATTCAAATCACTTAATCTAATTATACATTTGAATCAGTCAAGCTCTAATAGACTGATATAATCTTATACACTCACACTGAGACTGATCTGATCTCACTCTCTGAGAGAAATACTATATTATTCTCTAGAGTGTATACATCTCTACTCTGACAGAAATTCAAGATTTCTGAACTCACTGCACATTTTGATATAAGCTCTTTAATCACTCTATCACTGTCACAGCCTCTACACATCTACATCTATTATGAAGATAGAGAGATTAAGATTGAAGATTCTCTGAGATATAAGAGAAATATCTTATCTGAATTTCACAGCTTTATCTGTATTCTTGAACAGAAATTTCACCTTAATCTGAGCCAGTATAATACTCATGAGATATAAGTAATATACACTGTCAACCTTCTTGAAGGCATCTCTGCAACTACTTGAGTTATTAAGAAGAGAGAGCTTGAGTATATCAATACTATTATAACTTAAGAAGAATTCAAGAACTTTCTACTGAATCAAATTAAAGATCACTGTAACTGCAGCTTCACAGCAGTATAGTAATTCAACTCATTATATTAACAAGATAATGAGAATTCTTCTGATTTCAATGCAAGATTTAAAGAATATTGAGAGAAACTGATCAATGATTTGAATCAATTAAAAATATAGCTTTATCTCATGAAGCTGACTCATAAGATGTGAATAATGATATTATAATATCAGAGTTTATCAATTAATTGCACTGAGCTTATCAATCTGACTTCTCAGATCTATTTGAATAATCAATTCTCTGAGAAAAAGACTAACAAGATCTCTTTTAAGTAATCAATGATAGAATCTAAATGACATCATGACAGCTTCAGTGCAGAGAAAGTAAAGAAGAATTTTAAGTATTCTGATTCTTCACTCACTGTGAAGAAATGTTAAAAAAGATTTGATAAAGATCTCTGTTTCAACTGTGAAGCTGATGATCACTATATCAGTGATTGTAAGAAGCTGAAGAAGAGAAGAAACTGAGAAGATATCTTCTCAAAGTCAACTTCTCTTCTGATAAATATATTCATGAAAGATAAAGAAGAGAAAGAAAAGAATTGATAATTCTCATATCTTCAAGTTCATGTTATGATTACAATATATACTCTGAATGAGAAGGTATCAGTAAGATGTCTATTCAACTCTGAAGCAGATATCAACTTCATATTCTATTTCTTTTCTTTAATAAAGAATTGAAAGAAGATAGATCTGTCAGATCATATAAAATTTACAGATGAAATGAAATATCACTGTTTTAGCATAATTCAAGCAAAGTGTGTGATCACAGACTTAGAAGAAATCTTTAAGAAGAGCAGTCTGCTTCTTCATACAGTTAATATCATAGATAAGAATATTATTCTAGATCTCTTATAATTGAGAGAAAACAATTCTCTCATTGACTGAGTCACTCAGATGTGACAGTACTGTCTCACTAATGAAGAGACAGTGATAGAGAAATCTGAAGAGTTTCATCAGAAGAATCTTGAGAAAAAGATTGAGTTGATATACTGTGTAGCAGATGATTAAGACTTGAAGATAGATAGAGAAGTCATCACTCTCACTGCAAGATTAGCAGCAGTATTCATCATTGAGAACAGATGTACATAATATCTCTTTACAGATTTTAAGAATATCTTTTCAGAAAGAGAAGCAGTGAAGTTTCCTGATATCAAGATATGATATAAGATTTATCTTAAAGACAATGCAACAGTGCTGTACAGATCTCTTTATAACTTGTCTATAAAGAAATTGAATATTCTGTACAAATATCTTGAAGAAGTGCAATCAAAGAACTGAATATATTTATCAAAGAGTTCAGCAGAGACATCTATACTCTTTATACTCAAGAAGAATGATAGGCTACATCTATGTATAGACTACAGAGACCTCAATAAGATGACAGTTAAGAATTACTATTCATTATCATTGATTGATGAGATGATTGATCAATTATCTGAAGCAAAGATGTTCTCAAAGATTAATATATGAAATGTCTATCATAGAATCAGAGTTAACAAAGACAATGTTTGAAAAACAGCTTTTTGTATCAAGTACAGTAATTTTGAATATCTTGTTTTATCTTTTAATCTTTGTAATACTTCAGCCATCTTTCAGATCTATATAAATGAGATGCTGCAGAGCCTTGTCAATGTCTTCTGTATAGTATACTTAAATAACATTCTAATCTTCTCAAAAATGAAGAAAGAACATGATACTCATGTTCAAGAAGTATTGAGTCACTTGAGACAGTATCAACTCTATACAAACACTGAAAAATGCTCATTCTACATGCAGGAGATTGATTTCTTAGATTATATTATTAAGATGAATGACATTTCAATGAACAGAAGCCAGGTCTTTATTATTGAGAACTGATCAGTGCTGTGAATATATTATAAAATACAGATATTTCTAGAATTTATGAATTTCTACAGATGATTCATCTATGTATATTCACAGATTACTGATCCTCTTACAAATCTGTTAAAGAGAAGTGTGAAAGACAGAAAAATGAGATTATTTATTCTTACTCAAGACACTGCACAGGCATTTGCAGAATTGAAACAAGCTTTCACAGATATCATAATACTGAATCACTTTAATCCTGACTTATTCAGTCAGTGTGAGACTGACATATCTGAGAATAAGGTCTGTGAAATCTTTTCACAGTTGACACTGAAGACCTTTCAATGTTGAAAGAATCAGAGAATAATTATCTCTGAAGAAATAGATAATGAATTATCTATAAGAGAAGACTTTTTCACAGAGTCTATAAGATATTATAAATAAAGATCAGTGATCTTCTTGTTCAAGAAATTATCACTCATGCAGAGAAGGTATAATACTCATGATCAGAAGATGTTAGCAATTATTGAATTCTTTAAAATCTGGTGACATTATCTTCAGAGTAGTAAGTACTCAGTGTAAGTTCTCACTGATTATGTAAATCTGTGTTACTTCTTAACAACAAAGAGCTTGATAGAATATCAAGCCAGATGAGCAGAGCTGCTTTTGAAGTATGATTTTTATATTCAATATTATTCAGGTCAGCTTAATCTCACTGACACACTGTCTAGACAGCCTGATTATAATATTATTAATACAGAGAAGAATTCTATAAAAGAACCTCTATCATCACTGCAGAAGAAGCTGACTGCAGAGAGTTAAGATTCTCTGAATCTCAGAAACAGTGCTGAAGAGACAGCTGCATGACTCAGTATAGAAGATAAAAGAAAATCCAGATCTCTGTAGAGAACTGATACTGAAGATCATGAGCTTCTTGTATCATATCTTACAATCATTGAATTGATAAAGAATAAAATAGTCTACAATCTTTCAATCTGACTACTTTTGAAATTCATTGATAAATTATAGAAGAGAGACATCTCTACTGCAGCTCAAATTCAGAAGTTGAAGAAGAAAGAATCTGGTTTAAACTTGAAAGAGACAGACTCTGAGCAGGGTGATACTACTAAGAAATCAAGTCACTGATAACTAGAAGAATATGAACTTCTACTGCTGAATGATTCAGTCTTCATTTCTCATAGTAGAGTGATGTATCAGAAGTTATTGAGAATTCATTATAATAATTCTCATATGAGACACTTCAGGTTAGAGAAGACTGAGAAGCTTCTAAAATATAAATATATTTAGAACAAGCTTCAGACAGATGTCAAAGAGTATATTAAAACTTGTGATATCTGTCAAAGCATAAAGATTCTGTGATATAAGTAATACAGTAAGTTGATATCACTGCCTGTTTTAAAGAGCTCATGACAGAATCTATTGATGAATTTCATAGTTGATCTGCTGAAGTCAACAAGAGTCAAAGAATATGACTCAATTTTGATCATTGTTAACTGCTTCATGAAGATGACTAGATATATTTCTACTTATAAAAAGATTAAAGCCTTTGAATTAACTGATCTGTTTTTAGATATCATCATTTATAATCATGATGCTCTGAAATCATTGATAACAGATTGAGAATTCCTCTTCATCAGCAAGTACTGATTGACTTTTTACTATCATCTTATAATAAGGTATCTTCTCAGTATCACATTTTATTCACAGACTGATGATCAGACTGAACATCAGAATCAGATATTAGAACAGCATCTTCAAGTATTCTATTCATATTATCAGAATAATTGACTCAAACATCTTCTAACTGCTGAATTTGTATATAATAATGCAAAGAATACAATCTTAAAGATATCTTCTTTCTATACTTATTATGAATATAATTCTTTGTTACTCAGTGACATCACAAATGACATTTCAAAGAGAGAAATAGACAGTCAGAATGTTAAACAGGTACAGAGAATAGAGTATTTCTCAGTATTAGAAGTAAAAGTGAGATTAGAACTTTTAAATAAAATTTATAAGAAGGCAGTGAAAAGCATTCACTATGCTCAGAAGTAGTAGATAAAATACTATAATTGAAAACATCTTTTAATGAAGTTCTTGATAGAGGATTAAGTACTACTTTCAGCAAAGAATATCAAGATAATGAGACTGTGTAAGAAGCTCAGTGAGTAATGACTAGAATCTTTCCTGATAACAAGAGTGATGAATAAGCAGATATATAAGTTGAAATTACTCACAGAATTGAAATCAATTCATTCTGTTTTTCATATTTTCTATTTGAAGCTCTATAAGCAATGCTCTGAGATGAAGTCATCTTGACTGAATGATATTGAGATCAAGAGTGATACTGAATATCTTATAAAGAAAATATTGAATAACTGAACATATTACAGCAAGCTCTAATATCTTATTAAATGAGAAGATTATTTATTATCAGAGAATTCATGAGAACTACTTAAGTATTTGAAAAATACTGAGAAAGAGATTACAATCTATGAGACAGCTAGTAGAGACTGTCTCATTACATGTCAGAGATATTGAGCAAGAAATGCTGCTTAAGACTTCTCATTTTTCTCAAAGGGTTTTTTAGAGATGATCTTGCAGTGATGAGCTGGTATCTTGTGAGCTCTGTAGCACTCTTCTTCTATTTTCTCTCAAAGAGTTTTTTAGAAGTTTAATGAGACTACACAAGTGTAAAATTCCTGAAGTGATTAATAAGAAAAGAAAGACATATTTGAAATTAATAAAGATTAATATTATTGATCTACAGATCACTGCTATTCTAATAGAGCTGCAGCCTGCTGAAAAAGTAAAAAGAGAAATCAGAGTCTACTTATCAACAATTACATCTTCATCAAACTTATTCTTCACTGTTGAAGTCTTCAGCACTGATATCTTTGTCTGCTGAGAAGTTAGCACTGCAGTACTGTAGAGAAGTATGCTGCAGAAGAATATGAAAGATACTGAAAGTATCAACTTATTAACTTACAAAGTATCTCAGTCATCTACTTCAACTGAAGTGAGATTCTCTTTAATCAGTAATTAATCTCTGTGATGCTTTCAACAGCAGTATTGACTGATCTCTTCTTAGAGTCAGTCATTCTGAGATGTTTTTTCATCTTAAAGATTCACACTTTCATCTCTTTTTACAGATAAGTAAGAAGAATCTTCTCAGTCTTGACAGAATCTATCAATACTTGAAGCTTCAAGACTCTTACTCTGTACTGCTTGAGTATCTAGACTTCTTATCAGAGTTAACACAACATCTTTCTATGAGATAATACTTACAGAGAGACAGAAGTCATTGTTACAGATATAACAGAAACAATGAGAGTGAGAGAAGAAATAAATATATAAAATCCTTTCTTTCTTCAGCTGCTTAGTGCAGTGCAGACAAGTGATAGTATCAGTCAGAGACTGCATCAGAGTCTTCTCACAGAGAGAAGATAAAGAAACTATGAAATTCTGCAAACTCAACTCAGTAGTATCTCAAGCAGGGCTTGAGTATGTGAGAGAGAAACTACAGATTGAGCTTCTCAGAGTCACTGTTTCTGAAATCAAGCTCTTTTCAGGTTTCTCTCTGAATGATCACACAGGGTCATACATCACTGTGTTGATTGAGAGAGGGAACAGCATCACAATAGCAGCAGAGAGGGCAGAGAAAGAACTGAACACAGACAAACTGACTAGTAGAAGAGATGACACCTCACTGCAAGGCATAGTGACTACTGCTGTGACTGCAAGAGAAGTAGAAGAAGAAGAAGAAGATATGAAAATGAGAGCAGTGCTTCTGCAGCTCAGTGACACTGCTGTCTTCATCTTTAACTGAGCTTTCTTAACAGTCACAGAGACTGCAGTCACATCATGAAGACATTTACTCACTAGAAAAATGTCAGAATAAGTCTTTTATTATTCTTCAAGAATAATACTCTCAGACACTCACTGTTGTAATTGAGAGAAAAGAAGAAAAATATTTCATAGAGAGAGAAATCTTTTTGAAAAATCCTGCTACTAGTGTTAGCTTTGTCTCTAAAATACATCACTTTTACAGGGAATTTCATATATAAGATGAAATATGATGAGAGATCTGTAAGTCACTTATTAACTACATTTTTCACATTTCAAATTGATATATAAGGAACTCACTTATCATGTGTTTGATTTGAATGAAGATGAGTAAAGACAGATCTACACAGGTAGCAGAAAAACTCATCTATTTCTTTATATCATACACAGTACATATGCTGTCAATTGATTGATAACTGTTGCTATACAACAAAGATAACTTCTAATCTGATAATCTTGAGAGTATAGAAACTATGCTCTTAAAGAGAAGAGTATTATCACACTCTCAGCTGTGTTAAGACTCTGTTATAGTTTCATACAGCTCATCACTTTCATGCAGATAATTTCATCCTGTCTGAACCAGTTTTCTAACTGCTCTTTGACATTATTCAGATATATTATAGAAAGATACAATTGATGAATATAAGAACCTCACTTCTATATAAGATCAGCAGATTACTTTTTCTTGACAGTGAGACACTGCTGAGGTATTACTTCAGCTATTCTTACTCATGAAATGAGAGAAGGTATTCACTTATTGTCTATATAGAATAGCTAGATACTGACTTCTCATGAAAGAAGTCAGCAATTCATTTTTCTTCTACTGAAATATATATGAGAGTTATCACGTGTCTCATACAATCTTCTTAGTATACTAAGTATCATATCTGTGATATTCTCATAATAACTCTGTAGCCTACAAGCTTTCTATTCAAGCAAGATAGTCAAGCTCACTCATACAGCTTCTCAAACAACTACTTCTACATGACGCCGCTGACTAGCCACCGCTTCGGTTCCGCCACGTTACATGAAGAGAGAAAGTCTTGATAGAGAGTATATAGTAGTATATATTTTAGCAGTTTCTATGTTATTCTTCTGCAGCAGTTAATGTAAAAAAAAAAGATCTTAGAAATAGTTTTTTACTTCTCTTGAAAAAGTAAGGTATTTTTCTCTGAATTTTACATAATATTCTTATAAAGAATTAAAAACAGAGTTATTTTCTGTCATCATTTTATATTCTTTTAAATAAGAATTACTTTTTCAGTGACTGAAGATCTTTCAATAATACTTAATTCTCTTTTATACTTTTTTTTAACTGATTTTAGTTGCACACTTGTTGTGTGAGAAGAATTGAATAATTTAGAATAAAATTGAATAGTTTTAATCAATTTCTCTGCAAAAAATTGACATATTTTTTATCAGTTTTTATCTCAAAAACTGTCATATTATCTGATTTATTATCAATTGATATCATACTTTTCCTTACTGTATTTCAAGAAAGAGTTTATAAAGATTTTATTAATTTATCTTAAAAATCAATTTTAGTTTATTAGATTCTCTTCAAAAATCTAACCTAGTTACTGAACTAGTGTGAAAAAAATCAGGTGTTTTATACATAAAAGTCTTTCATTCTTCTTTTGAAACAGTCTAATCAACTTTTCAATTGAAAAGAGCCTAATAAACCTCTCAACTGAAACAGTCTGATCAACTTTTCATTTGAAAATAGAGTAATAAATCTCTTAATTGAAACAGTCTGACCAACTTTTCATTTGAAAATAGACTGATAAATCTCTCAATTGAAACAGTCTGATCAACTTTTCATTCAGTGAGTAAAATGAGTTCAAGAGTACACTCAGTTGATATGGAAAAAGATGTTTTCCCAGATGCTGTTCCTGAGATTGAAATTCTAAAGAGAAGAAAGAAGGAAGAAATAGAGAAACAACAAGTGCTTGAAATACAGAAACTGAAAAAAGCAAGTATAATTCTTGAAAAACAGTGTCTGAGTGAGATGAATGAAGAAGTTCTGTTAATTCTTCATACTCAGACTAGACAACTACAAGAGATGATCAAGTTCAAACTTGGAATTTCAAACACAATTTAAAAAACATTGAAATCTTCTAGTACAGTCACTAACTCTTTTTCATCTTTCACTTCTTCATCTTCTTCTTCAAATCAGAAGAAAATATATGCTTAAGTAGCAGAATCTGCTGTCTCTAAACCTGCTAGTTCAAAATCTGCTCAAAATTCTGAGAAAACTGAGAAGAATATTACTCAGATCTCTGTTCATAGAAAGAAAAAAAAAGAAATGTAAAAAGAGAAGAACTTTTAAATCTTCAGAAATAGAAGACTTATTTTCAAAGTCTGAAATCAGAAGATCTTGTAAAAAAACAAGCTAAAATCAAATCTCATTTTCAGAATTAGAAATGAAATTAATCAGCAGTTCTTTTCTCAGTTAATGACTGATATTGAAGTTTAAAAATCAGTTATAGCTTCAATTGAGTCATCTTTCTTTGAAAATTCTATTATTTTAACTACAATGTTTGAATTCAGTACAGAATTTCTCATTCAGAATAAGAATCTCTGAAAATCAGCAATAGAATCTCTACTGAATACAACAATTCTATCTGAGAGAGATGAAAAATGAGATAAATTCATTCTTTATAATATTTCAGTTGAAATTTTTGACTGTGAGAAAGAAATGCTACTTCTCAAAAATGAATTAGAAGAATACAATTCTATTCAACTGAGAAAAGAGTCTGTATAACTTAATTCAATTGAGTTCAGACAGAGTAAAAGAAATGCCTCTGTTCTAATATATATAAAGACACTTGAATAATCAAGAATCTCTGAAGTAAGAGTAGCAGGTTTGAAAATGAGAGTTCATGAATACAAAGACTTAAGAATGACTCTCAAAGCTCAAACACAGTGTTCAAACTGTCAAAGATATGAATACTTTGTAATCTCTTATTTCAGAGACTTAAAATGCACATTCTGTGCTAGAGATCACAAAACTAGTGAGTATAAATGTGAAACATGGTTAAAAAGAGATGAAATATGTCAATATACTCTGCTTAAGTGCTTCAATTGCAAAGAAAAATATGCATCTAGCTCAAAAGAATGTGTATTTACTTCAAGAACTCAGAAGAACTGAAGAAAAGATGAAGTAAAAAGTGAATCTAAAGCTGAAAAGAAAAGTCAAGCTAGTAAATCTGCAACTGTAAGCTTAAAAAGAAGAAACTCTCAACAATCTAAGTCTTTAAACTTCAATTCTCCAGTTAAATGTAAATAGAATTTGAATTCTCAAACATCTGTTAAGATTAGAGAATTGAGAAATCACTCTGATAATAAACTAGATAGAATGTAAGCAGTTGAGATTCCTGCTTTTCAAAATAGTTATAATCTACTATCTGATAATAATGATGAGATTCTACTATATCTTCACTCTCTTTTAGTATGAATATACAATAAAAACAACAAAAAAAGTTTAAAAACTCTTTAAAAATTACATTTATTCAAAACAATGTGAATAGAAACTCAAATTACATTTATTCTTATCTTCAGATTGCACTTGAATAAAAAGTTGACTTTATACTTCTTCAAGAACCAAACTTTGATACTGAGTAAAAGTACATTATTTCTCATTCAAGCTATTACTACTTTCTTTCTGAAAAATCTGAGATAAAATCAAGAGTAGTGATCTATGAGAGAAAAAGATCAAGATATTAATTTAATCTGAGATTTGATATTATATCTGACTCTAATATTCTAGTAAGTGACATTATAGACAGAGATAATGAGTTTGATACTATTCAACTTATAAATATCTATAATGAAAAGTCATTGAAAGAAAACAACAATATCTGAACAATTGATAGAGAAGTTTTAAATATAACTCTCTTAAAAAACTTTATAATTATAGAAGACTTCAATACACATCATTTCTGATGAAACTCAGAGTGCATAAGAGCAGTAAGAGTAGATAAACTGATTAACTGAACTTTTAAGTATTCAATAGATTTAGTTAACAAGTTTGATCACTAAATATTCTTTAGAAAAGACATGAAACAGAAATCTATTATAAATCTAACTTTCATATCATAAAATCTAATTAAAAAAAGACTTATAAACTGATTTATTGATTCAAATGAAATCTCAGAATTGAGTTATAAGATCATTCAATTTGATATTAAACTGAGTGAAAAATCAAGAAGTGAAAATTCTTTTCTCTCTACTGAGTATAACTTTGAAAAAGCTGATTGAAAAGCTGTTAAAGAAAGAGTAAAACAGCTGAAATCTGAAAGACTAGAATCAAAGTCAAGATATCTTAAATGAAATACTTGAAAATAGAGTAAAGCTGATTACATCTATTCTTCTAAAAAGTATTGAAGAAAATATTTCAAAGAAAAAGTCTTCTGAGTATTTCAAATCTTGATGAAATGAGAATATCACTTCTAAAAGAAAGCAATTAATCACTGCTAAGAGAGATTGAAAGAATAACTTAATATCTGTGAAGAGTTCAAAGCTATTCAAAATGAATATTTTTCAGATATGAAAAAAGTCAAAACAGATTACTGAAACAAATTTCTTAAAGAAGTATAAGAAAAAGAAGTTTTTAAAGTCTTCAACTATTAGACTGGCCGCCGGGACCATGAATTTCACATTTGATCCCATTTGGTCTGGTCTCATACATTTCTTGGCGTGAATCCCGCTGGGACTGGCTATCAAAAAAACATGCAAAGTGACTATATATCAGATCTTAAAATGGGACCATGACTTGAAAGAAATGAGAAAGTGGTCTCATTTGGTCTCATTTAGTCCCATTCTTGACATAAAGTTACTATTTTTAGACATTTTAAGGTTTTTTTTAGACTATTTTTAATTTTTTAAAAAGTAATGCTTTTTGGTAACACTCAAATGAGATTTAAAGTCATTTAAAGCAATAAAAATAATTTAAATTGAGAAGTGGAAATCATGGTCTCATTT